TCCCTGGACCCAGCGGAGATGCAGCAACAATTGCAAGTCGACTCCTGCAGTTGTATCCTTTCCTGGAAGACCCTTGGCAGGGGCCATGGGAAGATAAGGAAGGATAAAACGAGAAACGGGGAGCTTTTGGGTGGGTGAGCAGGAAGACTGACAGCAGGGTGGGGAAGAGACAAGAGTGGTACACTCTGGGCTGTCAGTCCAAGAAGAAATGTTGTGCTGGCAGGACAGGGAGTCGCCTAAGCCTGGGAAGATTTCAGGGTGTCGAGGAAAATCTGAACCACTGGGGAAGTGGGAGGTGGGTGAGGCTTGTTTCACGTAGTCAGAAAGATGGTTCAGGGGTAGTCCTGGTCTTGGGTAGCAGAAGAGGGTAGTGCCAGACAAACCGCAGCTACAGGCTACAAAGCAATAGGAAACCTAAAGGTGGATGGTACCTTAACCGTAAACTCTTTCCAGCTCTGTGAGAGTGCCTTTCTCTTCTGCTGCGGAGGCAGACATGGCCCGCAGATCCCTGGTCGCCAACGCCCAGCGTCAGCTCTTAATGGTTCCGCAGGAGTTCACTGTGAATGACAGTATCTTAGCTGTGTCAGTTTTCCAAAACTCTGGAGTGGGGGTGGCCTCATGGTTGGGAGGCTCTGTGCACTGTAGGGGCTTGCTAGTGGAGATGTGGGTGAGCTAGGTGTAAGTGGGAAGGCACAGTGTGGTGGGCCTGAACAGATTCCTTCACCATTTCCCTGACGGTGTCTCTTTCTCTCATTTAGTAGGTGGACTACAGAAGACCCTGTTCTCTTCCGCATTTCCATCAATAACTTCCTTGATCAACTCTCCCTGGTCATGAGAAACATTCAGCACCTTCAGTTTGTGGCTTTTAAACGAAGAAGAGAAAGAAGTCATAATAACTGATCTGTTACCTGCTATAAGACAAGACAGAAGCATTTCATGCTTTTGGTAATTGTCACTTTGCCTTCAAAGTTCAATGTTTTTGATGCTCATATGCCCTCTATAAGCCTCTTGACAGGCTTGTTTCACTATTGCTAAAGGAACAGGTACTTAAACATTCATTGCTAAACAAAATACAACTGACCTACTATGGGTTGGTTGGTTGGTTGGTTGGTTGGTTGGTTGGTTGGTTGGTTTGACTTGATTTTCATTTGTCTATGGCAGAAACCTCTACTTTTTT